TTCTTCTTCTTCTTCTTCTTCTTCTTCTTCTTCTTCTTCTTCTTCTTTTTTTTTTTTTTTATGAACAGCTATGAGCGGCAGCCCACTCACTGTGGCTCCGTCGTCCTGATAGCTTGAATCTATCAGAAACTTCTGGTGGACTGGTGAGGGCAAGGCCAGCAAGAAAAAACAATATACGAAGTACAAGTAGTGAACCTTGACCACAAGATACAGTAAAGAGATGCAGAGGTGTGGAGATACCCAGGTGGCTAACGGGAGGAACTAAGCAAGGACAAACATTAAGAGGTGAATCCCGAGAAAAAGGTAGGGTACGGCAGGTGCTACAACAGAAGAGAGGGGCGGGAAAGGGCCAAACGTCAGAGGGCTGGGCCAGGCCAAGATCCGCAATTCTGATTATTCTGAGTCTGTGTCACAAGATGCAGGACAAACTTATAAACAGACTACCGAAGTACTGCCGGCACAGCGCCTTCCAGGTTAACCTGCCTCGGCACTTCCGCCCTGACGCCGGAAACGGAAGTGACCACGCTGTACACTTCCGGTCCGACCAGGGGAGGTGGAAGCAACAGAACGGACGGTGAGGAACCTCAGTTCTGACAGCCTCAGGTCCTGAGCGGTGGGCGGGACGCTGGGTCCTGGCACAATGTACCCCTCAGCGGGTTTGTCCTTTGGCGAGGAACACCATCGGCCGACGTTTCTGTCGGGGTGCGACACCTTCTGGTGCGGGTCCCTGAGCGGGTTTGGTTTTGTCCTTGGCGTGCGTCTCCCTTCCCACCCCCGCTTGGACAGGCTTGTTTCCACCCTCAGAGTTCCCTTTTGCCCCTAAGGCCGGAAATCTGACAGTCCTCAGACTGCGATTGGAACCAGGTTTGCTGGAGATCCCGTATTATTTTTTACCTTTTGATTGTCCTCATTCAGGCTTATGAGTGGGTTCTTTCCCGCAAAGGTTTTGTCAGCTTTCCTTTGGCATCTGGCTTGAACCACTGCCACTGGACTGACTGCCTTTCACCTGTCAGCTGGAGTGGTTGGATATTGAGTTGAATATCTAGCCCTGTAAATAGAAGTATACAGGTTTTAATGTTGTTGGGAATGCTGAGGATAGCATGTCAAACCAAAGCAAAATAAATAAATAAAAATAAATAAAAAAAATAAAAGCCTGCAATTGCAGTTATGTATACAGTTGAATCTCAACTTATAAAGAAATGAAGAAGAAAAAGTCAATCAGTGCTGTTAGTAGTGGTTGTCGCTAGAATACCATTTCTATGGCCTGCTCAGATTTTCTATTTGGGTATATGTAATTTTATAATCAGAAGATGAAAAAGGATAGTGTATGCAATGCTGGTCCACTTAAATGAGAAATACAAAGAGAAACACATGGGGAAAAATTACATGACTGAAAATTTACAATGGATTTTAGTGGCTTTCTAAAACCACGAAATGGAGAGTGAAAAATTCCAGAAGGCAGGTCTTTATTACATCTGTGGATGTTGAATAGCTGAAATCAAACGGAACAATGTTATTGATTCCCTCATTTACCAGATACTCAGAAAGTAGCCTGTGTAGGTCCATGACGAGGGTAGTATTGGATCGCAGGACTGACCTAGTATCTGAGCATCTGTGCTTAGGGGAAACAAACTGCTTGAGTAAGGAGAATATGTGTCTTTTGCCATCTTATCCTTGTTTTTAGAGGCTTTAAAAAGTAAGAAATGGAATCTTGGGTACCCAGAGTAGTAAGTAGTAAGGGGAGTCATAGGACTCAAGTTTGCCCACTGAACTGCAGAGGTGTAGTAATAGTTGTTGTCTTTCAGGGACATGGCCAGCAATGGGGTGAAAGCTCCAGGTCTTCTATAGGGCTAGGAATTGTGTTAAAGATGCCTTTGACATAGTCTAAAGTTTCTGTATAAATACCCTTTGTGTGTGCCTCCATGCCTGTGAGCCATCCCGCTTCTCTCTGTTAAGTTAAAATCATCCTGATGAGACCTGATAGGCTAGGGTCAGATAGAAGGAGAGGAGGGTATACCCTATCAGTGGACTAGGGGAGGGGCATAGGAGGAGAAGGAGGGAGGAAGAGGTTGGGAGGAGACGAGGGAGGGGGCCACAGCAGATTACAAAGTGAATAAATTGCAATAAATAACAAATAAAAAATTGCAAAAATCTTCCCAGCAATTGAATTCCAAAGATTTGTGGGTTTTGTGGAGGAGTTTATGATCCAAGTTCAGCTATCATTTCTGCTCTACTGATTTAAATATCATAGAAATTCTCCTTTAGCTGCACTGTGACCACATGACATTTGCATGGTAAGTCTGGTGCCGCTGCTCAGCCTTTAACATACCTTCTCCTTTGTGTACATAGTGTATCTGTGGTATGACATGTGTAAAGATTCTGCCTGCTTTTTGACCATGAAGGAGACAGACCTGGAGGCTGTTGCAACAGCAGTCCAAAGGGTTGCTGGGATGCTTCAGCGCCCAGACCAGCTGGACAAAGTGGAGCAGTATCGAAGAAGAGAGGCTCGGAAGAAGGCCTCTGTGGAGGCCAGACTAAAGGTAGGGGACCATAGAATAACGGGACAGAGCCATTTGTCTTGAGTTTCTGCTCCCTGCTACCCTGCCTGCCTACAGCCCTATTTTATGGAAACATTTTTCTCAATTGAGGTTTCCTTCTCTGAGATGATTCCGTTTTGTGTCAAGTTGATGTAAAAAATTAGTCAACACAATGTGATATATGTATATAAATCTAGATTATGTATGTGAAAGAAAACAGTTTTGTCTTTCTCTCTTACTGTTTTCTCTAGTTCCTTTTATTTAGACCAGCAGTTCTCAACCTGTGGGTCACAACCCCTTTGAGGGTCAAGCAACCCTTTCACAGCCCAGAAAACACATATATTTATGTTATGATTCATAACAATAGCAAAATTACAGTCATGAAGTAGCAAGCTTACTACTTATGGTAGCTTATGCTTACTTATGCTTACCATACTACATATGGTAGCATACACCTTTAGTCCTAGACTTAGAAGGAAGAGACAGGTGAATCTCCATGAGTTCAAGGCCAGCCTGGTCTACAGAGTGAGTTCCAGAACACCAAGCCTTTACAGAGAGACTTTGTCTCAAAAATCAACCAACCAACCAAACAAACGAAATGAAAAAGCAGTGAAAATAATTTTATGGTTCCTCAACATGAGGAACTCTGTTAAAGGGTTGCAGCCTTAAAAAGGTTGAGAACCACTGTTTTAGACTCTTCATAACTCATAATCCCTTTTAACTTTCATGGTGTGTTTGTTTATATGTGTGTACTTAAGTCTAGTTTCTGTATTTATAAAAGAAAAAATGCAATATTTGTTTTTCTGAGTCTGACTTATTTAATGTAAAATGAACTCTAGTTTCTCGTTTATTTTTCTGTAAATGACATAGTTTCAATCTTTACAATTGAATAAAATTTTTTTGTGTACTTTATCCATTCATCTGTTGATGTACATCTAGGCCAGTTCTGTATCTTGGCTCTTATGAACAGTGCAGCAATAAACACAGATATGCTGGTGGTATCTCTTTGGTACATGACTTAGACTCTTGAATATATATTTAGGAGTGATATAGCTGTTTTCTATGGCAGTATTATGTTTTGAAGATGCCTTCATACTGATTTCAGTTTACAGTCCCACCAACAGGCATAAAGAAGGTTCCTTCCTTCCCCCCGTCATTGCTGTCATTTGTTTTAGTTAAAAAACAAACAACAAGAACTCTCTTTTTAGATTCATTCATTTCATTTTATGTATAGGAGTGTTCTGTCCGTGTACCATTCACCTGCCTGGTGTCTGCAGAGGTCAGAAGAAGGTATTGGATCCCCAGAAACTGGAGTTATGGATGCTTGTAGGTGTGGAGACTGAAGCCAGGACTGCGAGGGCAATGAGTGCTCATCATCACTGAGCTGTCTCCAGCTCCCAGCTTTTTTTTAAATGATAGCTGTTATGATTATAGTGAGAGAGAATATTAATGCGCCTTTGTTTATTTGGCTCTTTTTGTTTGATTGTTTGTTCTGTGTGTGATGTTTTTAGGGAAGATCTTACTGTGCACCTCTAGCTGGCTTTGTATTCCTTGTGCAGCCCAGACTGGCCTCAAATTCACAGTAGTTCTTTTACTTTGGGCATTGAGTGCTGACTTTACAGTTCTGTGTCTCCACATCCACGCTCAGCATAATTCTAATTGCGTTTTTCTAAAGGCTAATATTGTTGAACATTTTTTCATGGATTTTGTTTTTTGTACTTTGGGTATTTGTATTTCTTCTTTGGGGAGTTCTTTGTTCAATTTCTTTGCTTGTGTGACTGATGATTACTTTTTTCTTCTGGTAGCTTAGATAGTACCCTTCAGAACTATAAAGCTAGCCAGTAGGGATGAAGCGTCCAGGCCCTAGAATCTTGATTTCCCCAAGTTCCATGACTCAAATTTGTGGTGTCTTCAGCAATAAGGTCTTTTACCATCAAGGTCTGGGATCATAACTAATAACAATGGGATTGCCCTGTAATGGTTGAGGTCTGCAGGACCTCACTGGCAACAACCAAGAAGTAAGCCATTCCTGGCACTTGACTTTTTATTTGTTAGCTTCTGGTGTCTGGAAGGAACATTGTTTCCCTGTGACAGGGTTACACCATTTCTTAGTTAGAGTTGCTTTTGCTTTGATGAAACATTCTCACCAAAGAAACCTGGGGAGCAGAGAGTTTATCTGGCTTACACTTCCACAGCACTGTTCATTATTGAAGGAAATCGGGACAGGAACTCAAACAGGGCAGGATCCTGGAGGCAGGAGCTAATGCAGAGGCCATGGAGGAGTGCTGCTTACTGGCTTGCTTTCATGGCTTTGCTCAGTCTGCTTTCTTATAGAGTCCAGGACCACCAGCCCAGGGATGGTAACACCCACCATGGGCTGAGCCCTACCACGTCAATCACCAAGACAATGCCTTACAGCTGCTTTTTATGGAGGCATTTTCTCAATTGAGATTCCCTCCTTTTGGATGACTAGCTAGTTTTATAATTAAACCAGCTAGTTTTATGTCAGCTTAACAACGTGACATAAAACTAGTCAAGACACTCCATTTTGACTATATATTATGTCTGTTTATGATACTTCTATAATAATAGCTATCCTTATGTTGTTTTCAGAACAACATAAGTTGTTTTCTTTAGTGTTATTTATCCTTTCCCATACTCCTGCTGTACTCTGCTTCCTCACCTCAGTTTAACTCTCCCTGTTCTGTTATTTCCTTTCAACCCTTTATACTAGTGCGTTCTATTTTTCCTCCCTGCCATAAAATTGTAAGCTTACTTAAAACGTGAGTTTTTTAAAAATCCTATTGTTCAGTTACACACAAACTTTTTAAGTAACAGTATCATGTTGTAGTGTCAATAGGTTAGTCATGCCTGTGTATAGACAATCTTAATAAAAGGCTGTTTGATCTGTGGTATAGTTTAACAATATAGTTTTTGTTGATTTTTAGTCTAGATGACCAGTTGATAACAGATAATTACACCATTATTAAAGTATCCAGGACCTATCTTCCCCTTTATGTCTAGTAGTATTTTCTGAGATTATGAGACCCATTATTTGGTACATATATATTTATAATTGTTTTATCTTCTTGATAGATTGTTCTTAAATTAATATGCATTGGTCTTTATATCTTCTGACTAATTTTGCTTTTAAGACTATCAGATATCAGAATAGTGACTTAATTTTTATTTGAAGTTTATGTTATCCTATTTCAGGAAAGCTATGGCACCTTCTTTTCAGCTTTCATTTGTTTAGTAAGTCAATTTCTACCCTTTCACTCTCAGCCTGTGAATATCCTTCCAGTGAAGTGTGATTCTTGGAAATAATAGATACTCTTGGTTGTTTTTCCAATCTTTTTAGTTTTTCAAGACAGAGCTTCCCTGTGTAACAGAGCCCCGACTGTCCTGGACTCACTTTGTAGACCCGGCTGGCCTTGAACTCACAGAGATCCACCTATTTTTTTTTTTCCTGTAAAAGGGTCATTTTTGTTCCCCTTAAATGGTTCTTTCTAAACGTGATCCTCCCTGGAAAAAGTTATTCCTCAGGAAATCATGTATGGCAGTCATTGACTCTGCTTACGTGCATGGTGTCTCCTTTAGGCCGCAATCCAGTCACAGCTAGATGGGGTGCGCACAGGCCTCAGCCAGCTCCACAATGCACTGACTGATGTCAAGGATATCCAGCAGTCACTGGCTGATGTCAGCAAGGACTGGAGGCAGAGCATCAACACCATTGAGAGTCTCAAAGACGTAAAGGATGCGGTGGTGCAGCACAGCCAGCTGGCTGCAGCTGTGGAGAACCTCAAGAACATATTCTCTGGTGAGTGGCAGATAGTAGAGGGGAACTGGGGGAAGATTTGAGTGGCTCTAGAACACTCATGATGGTACCTTCTCACATACATACCTACTTTTCCTCCAAACACTGGGAGCTCTATGAGATGAATAGAGGCAGGCCAGCATTTCTTTGCAATATACTTTTTAGGCCTGTCCTTCAGTGCACAGTAAGCTTGATTCTGCCGGCTCAGATAACTTCTCTGACTATGAATGGAAAGGGTTCGTTGAGCAAATGTAAGTAAGCACCAGCGGAGAGCATACTGTTGTGTGTCCTGCTGGTGCACAGTGTACACTACGGAGCCAGTGCTTCTGGCGGTGGCGAGGGACTAGGAGGCTGCTCTTCAGGGTCGAGGGAACAGTACCTGTTCTTTAGAAGGGTAGCTACCTGCGTGGGATGAGAGACAGGCCCTGAGACGGAGGATCCGGAGAACAGTAGTTCTTAAGCTAGGACAAGTAAGGGCACAGGCCGGAGAGCAGGTGAGATGGGAGCCAGGTGGGCAGGACAGGACAGGGCAGGAGTCTCAGTGTGACAGCCAGGGCTAGGAGGATCCTGAAAATGGACAAAGGACTGACTGACTGGCTGGAGTTGTCTCTTTGGTACTGTGTTATGGAATGCACATGTTCCACAGCTCATTCATGAACAGTATTGGCTGTCTCCTGTCATGAATTCTTTGCAGTATCTAGAAAAATCTCAAATGTTTGGCTGATTCAGTGGTGATATGACTAGCTTAGGGCTTTTCTTTGTAGAGGGATCTGTTCAGATTTTCTACTATGTTGTTATTCAGTCTGCTAGATTTTATTTCCAGGAATTTGTTTGATCTAGGTTGTTCAGTTACTTGGTATTCAATTTTTCATTGTTCTTCTTTATAATTTCTGAAAAATTAGTAATGATATTCTCACTTTCGTATCTTTTTTTTTTTTCACTTTCGTATCTTAAGTAGAATCTTTTTTCTTAGACCATTTGAGCTAAGAGTTTGTCAATTTCCTTGATCTTTTCAAAGGACCAGATTATATTGATTTTTATAGTTTCTATTTTGTTTGTCTATAGTCTGACCTCTATTCTTTTAGCTTTGGGTTTAGGTATTTGGGTTTTTAAAAAAGATTTCTATTTTATTTTATGTGCATAAGTGTGTGCCTGTGTGTATGTGTATGTGCCACATGCATGTTTGGGGCGTGCAGAAGTCAGACAGTGTGGGTGCTAGGAACTGAGTCGGGATCTCTGCAAGAACAGCAAGGGCTCTTAACCCTTGAACCATCTCTAACCCATCCTCCTTTTCAGCTCCTTGAGCTGTGAAGTTAGGTTGTTGGTTTGAGAACTTTCTTTTTAATGGAAGCTGCTTTAGAAACATGTTTTCCATTGTATCCCCTGATGTTCTCCATCCTCTAAGTTTTGTTATATTGTATTTTCATTTTTATTCTTTTCTACATACTTTTCCATTTCCCTTATGGTTTCTTTGCTCTGTTGATTAAAAACATTGTTTAATTTGACAAAATTGTTTATCTTTCAGTTTTTCTTTTGTTACTGATTTCTAACTTCATCTGTTCTATTTGAACAAGATACTTTGTACAGCTTTATTTTTAAAAATTTACTGAGACTCAGTTTGTTACCTGAATTCAATCTATCTGGAGACTGTCCCTATGCAGTTAAGAGTATGCATGTGTTCCATCTCAGATCCTGATTTTTAGTGTGTAGATCCTCTGTTTCTTCATGCACCTTCTGCTTGTTTTGTCATCATTGAGAGGAGATGCTGGCGTCTTCAGTGTTCAGTACAGAGCTGTGCCTCTCCTTTCGGTTCTATCAGTTTTTGCTTCATATATTCTTGTGGTCTTTTTGAGATGCAGAGATGTCAATAATTGTCAGAATTGTGTAACTGAACCATCTTGCCAGTTGGTCTTCCTGTCAATATGTATCCTCCTTCAATTTACTTAAAGCTTATTGTCTCGTGTAATAGGCTCTTGATTTACATGGGCAATCTTTTTCCAATATTTTCAGGCTAAGGCTACTCTTGTAGACAGGTATGGTTGAATCACTTTTTTAAAATGTGTGTTTATTTTATGTGTACTAGTGCTTTGCCTAGATGTATGCATGTGCGCCATATGCATGCCCAAAGAGGTCAGAAGAAGGCGTCAGATCCCTTGGAACTGTTACAGATGGGTGCTGGGAACTGAATCCAGGTCCTCTGGAAGAGAAGCAAGTGCTCTTAAACATTGAGTCATTTTTCCATCCCATGAGTAGATCACTTTTTAAATAATCTGTTCTGCCATCTATTTTGATTGGAGAGTTTAAATGGCTTGCATTTAAACTAATTACTAGTGAGGAAGGATTTTACTGTTTGGTTTTCATATGCTGAATTTTTTTTGTTCCTTATTTCTCATACTATAGTTTTCTGTGTTTTAATTTTTTTTTTGAATGAAACACTTAAATTCACCTTTTTCTTTTTGTTTTGTGCGTTCAGATATTTTCTTTGTGGTAGGACTTACATTTAATGTCCTGAAATTGTTATCACTCCATATTGAATTTATACCATCATAAATTCACTAACATGTAAAAACTTTAGCTACATCCCACCCCTCTTCAGTTTCTTCCTTGTATATGTCCAAAAACCAAACTGATATTATATTAGTTTTTCAGATCATGCAGAAAACAAAAATTGGGTTAAATACTTGCTCTTGTATTTACTTTTGTTGAGAGTAATTTTCACCACTTTGTTTTTGTTTGTTTTTGAGTTTTATTTTATTTTATTTATTTGTGTTGGGTTTTCGAGATGGTCTCATGTAACCCAGGCTGGTCTTGAACTTGCCACATAGCTAAGTATGAATTAAGTTGTTAATCCTCCTGCCTCTATTCCACAAGTGCTAGAATTACAGATGTGTGTCACCATTTCTGGCTGAAATTTCTTCATGACTTCCAGTTATTGTCTTTTTACAAGTTATTGTCTAATGTCTTTTCTTTTTTTCTCTGGGATTCCCTCTAGCATGTCCTGCAGATGGCTCTAATCATAAAGTTTTCTCAACTTTGTCTTATTTGGGAATCCTAATTTCCCTCTCACTTTCGAATAATAGATTTGCTGGATAAAAGATTCTTGGTAAAAGCTGGGCTTGTTGGCTCACAATTGTAGTTCTAGCATTGAAGGCTGAGCTAGGAAGATGGTTGCAAGTTTGAAGTCAGTATGGGCTATAGATTGAGACCCTATCTTTAGGGATAGATAGATAGATAGATAGATAGATAGATAGATAGATAGATAGAT